AGAAAGGGAAATTTCGTGAAGTGGGAGTACAGTAAATCAAACGATTTCCATTAGATTTTTAAATTTCATTTATCATTATTATCTCCTAGTATCTGGTAGTGTTTGGCTGTACAAGTGGTGAGTAAAAAAAGTATAATGTCATTGTAAAAATATCTCAGTAGAAATAATATTTCAACCTGTTATAAGTTATTTTTTTTTAAAATAAAGTGAAATTTTTCTAAATATGTTTTTATATTTCATTCTGGTTGCTGGAATTGCACAATGTTTATAGTAATTAGTTTTTATTGTATCTTGATTTAATTTTAAAAAGTAGATGTTTCAAATTTAATTTATATCTCATACAAGAGCCACGTGAAAAACAGAATTTATTTTTGTTTAGAAAACGAATAGGAGCAGCTAAAAGTTAAAAGCTAGAAATAAAAGTTAAACGTTAGAACTAGAAAGAAAGAACGAGGTATGCTGTTCATGCTCGAGTAGCAGAATTATGGGAGATGCGAGATTTGGTGTTCGTTCCCGAGTTCCCATACTATATGGTCAATGTGCTCATTTCTTTTTAATTTGATTAAAGGTAAGTAATGTTTGGTGTTAAATTCCTATGACCTAGTCAAAATCTCTTATAAGTGTTTTGAAATTAACATTTTATCGCAAAGTAACGCAGGGTAATTACAAATTGACGCTCAACGTGTTAATATATTACATTTGTAGTATCGCGTTAGTCATACATCTCGGTACATTTTAAAGATTATGCAAACCAAACTGGCCCCTTACACTGACTCATACATTCATTTCGTTTTTTATACCTCTCGTGATAACATTGTCGAATTTTTGTGTTCATTTAGTGATTGTATAATGCCCAATAGGAAAAACAGGGATATTCAGTCGTTCGAAGGACAGGAAATATAATAAATACATAAAATTGCAGAAGAGAATTGAAAAACTCTGAGATGAATTATCATCCGATTCTGGATCGAGTACACCTCGACGTAAGTACTATTAAGGCCTTATCTAAAATATATTTATGAATAAGCACTTGCTAGCATGGGTAACGGTCATGTGACTCGTTTGTACACCAAGGTAAACATGTGTTTACCCAACGAAAGGTAAGTTTTCTGCTCCTCCCGGGAGGTAGTAAAAGTCTAGCAAGCATAATATTGTCAAGTGACATATTTTTCGTAAAAAGAATTACTTTAAAAAGGGTAAACATGTGTTTACTATTTAAAATGCCTTGACCTATAACGTGTTACTAGTCTCCAATATAGGTTATTTATTTTAGATTCGCTGGGTTCAAGTGAGTCCCGAGCGTCCACACCTATTTCTAACTACCAAGTAAAAGAGACTACTCCTACTCAGATTGATCCAAATTTGATATCGATCTTAGGCGTTGATCCTAATGAGAATGAAAAGTTTTCACAATATTTTAGGGCGGAGGTAATTACAAGGTGGACCCATATTCTGCGCAATGGACTAAATAAAGAAAATAAAAATGAGTTGTTCGAAAAATATCCGATTCCTCAGAATTGTCCGGCATTAAATGCTCCCAAAATGAATGAGGAAATTCAGTCTTGTCTGCCAGATCAAATAAATAAACAAGATAAATTCCTACATTCCTTACAGGAACAGTTGGGACATGGCATAACCGCCCTGTGTGGCGAAATTTGTAAAATGCTAATTTCAGACCATGAAAGTTTTAAATCAATACTCGGTCCTATAGTGGACTTAGCTCAAATATTTAGTAACCTCCATAACGCGATTTCAGCTCACAGTAAATATGTAGCATCTCCACATCTAAATTTTCAAGCGAAACAAATGGCCACAAAATCGCAGATTGACGAATAAATTTTTGGCAAAGATTTTAGTGAAAAGGTCAAAGCTAAACGGGCTTTGAAACAAGCTAGTAATGAACTGAAGACATATGATTACCAGCAACCGACTACATCAAAAGTATCTACAAATACAAGGCCCGATTTAAACTTCAGGCGCCCGCAAAACACGTCCAAATTCAACAGTTTCAGAAATCAGAGGAGAGGGTAGTACAAACAAGTCCAACATCAATCACGAAAACATTTTGGACGCCCCAATCAGAGAACCCAGGAACGCAGCGTTGCCAGAGCTGGTACAATTGTCCAGATCTGGTACATTTTAAGACCGTTTGTACAAAAGTACATTTATAATATTTCTGGTACATTTTGTACAATTTTAAACATTGATCTGACGGCACGAATTTTTCAAAACAAAAATCGATGCATTTACCATAAATATCGATAATTTCAAAATGTTTTTAAATCAGTAGCAAAAGTATTTTACTGTATTATTTATTGGGGTTGTTAGGTTTACAGTAAATTTTATATATTATAGGTGTTGTATTAATAAATAATTAAAACTATTGTAATTAACAGGTTTGTAATAAGAAAAGCTAAAGAGGCAGATCCGAGGCTTAGTATTTCTTAGCCTTCTATTTCATCAGGTTTATCTAGACTAGACCATCTGATAAAATAATAATATACGACACAATTACTTTAGAACAAAATAGTGCGATTAATCAGAATCTGAATTTGCGACAACATTAAGTTGGAAATGTAGGGATAGATCTCCTCCACAGCAAGTAATTTTTTTACTGTAAAATATTTTTGTTTTACTAATAAATCTTGGTTTTCCAATGGAGTAGCACGACGGCTACAAATGCCATAATTTATTTTAAATAATAATAAGACAAACGCTTCCTCTAAGACGTTTTTCTTTGAAGTAACTTTAAGTAACCAGGTTAGTTTATAGTATGACGTCACCGTTAGATGCTGTCAGTTTTGAACATGACACATGACATCTGTCTGTTTTAAATATTTAAATACGTCACAACACGTGTTTATTACTTTTTGGGGCTCACTTTTTCTTTTTGTACTCAATGGAGCCGCCACGCAAAAGGAGAAAAATTTTAGAAGCAATATTATTGGATGAAATTAACAGTGTTCAATTTAATAATGTTGGAATATATATAAATTTACAAAATATTTCCATTGACAATTCGCTGTGGTATGGTAAACTTTTAAGTGGATGCCGAATTTTTTATTACAAGTGTTTGTTTCTTTTAGGAATTATTTAGTATTATTACTTGATGAAACCCATTTAAGAATTGGCGAATTTTATGAAACATGGATTGGCAATTACATTGAATGTGATTTTTTTATGCATTTTCGAATGCAGAAAAAAACTTTTAAAAAGTTATTAAATTGTGTTGGAAGGCACTATATGGACCCCTTAACAAGAGGAAGAGGTGTTATCTTACCGTTGCCAGTGGAAAAGGCTCTGTTAATTGTCATTTGGTATTTGGCAAAAGGAGATACACTGGTCTCAATTTCAAATACATTCAATCTTTGCATTAAATCTGTACATAATGTAACAGAAAAGTGTTTGGAATACATGTGCTTACTCTCCTCTTCTGTAATAAGGTGGCCAACTGAAGAGCAATGCCGTAGTATTGAGGAACAGTTTAGACTTACAGCAGGCTACACGGTTAGTATTAAAATTACTTTAAGAGCTACACATCTATCCAAAATAAATATATATCTAATTTATAACTTAAAATATCTTTTCAGGTGTTATAGGAGCAATTGATGGATGCCACTTTGAGGCAAAAATTAATAATTTGCAACATGATAGTTACCAAAACCGAAAATTTAGGCACACTGTAAATATGCAGGCTGTTTGCCTACCAAATTATTTGCTGACGAATATTTCTGTGGGATATCCAGGATCTCTTCATGATGCAAGGGTTGATATATTTTTTCTTTATTCTACTGAAGAGACCATTTTTTTAACACAAATAAAATTATGTACCTGTATTTTAGGTTCTTATGGAATCAAATTTACATAGGGTAGTTATACAAATGGGACCAGAGCATTTATTTTTCAATAGATACCATATAATAGGAGATTCTGCATACCCTTGTAAATCTTGGCTAATGAAACCTTATAGGTAGATAACTAAAATTAAGTTTTAGCAATTTACATTTCAATTTTATATAAAAAGTGATAGGTACACCTAGAATAGAAAATATTTTATTGAAATAAAATTTAGCACAGCTTATCTTACAAATGATAAACCTTAAATTCATTTTTTAAACTATACAAACCTTACATATTTTGTGTATATGTAGGTATTTCTAAGAATTTATGCACTTTATGACTATTTATTTTCAATTCTAGATGTACCATTTTTTAAAAGTATATATATTTTGTTTTAGGAATCACAATAATCTAAGTAGAGCCAAAATAAATCATAACACAGTATTGTCAAAAACTCGAGTTATTATTGAAAATACATTTGGCCAGTTAAAAGGACGTTGGAGAATTTTGAATTTTGTCAATGTATACTCTGTAAAGAAGGTTGTCCAGATAATTACTGCATGTTGCTACTTGCACAATTTTTGTATTAGAGCTCATGACATTTTTGAAGAAAATGATATTTATATTTATGAAAACTGGGACAATAATTATATTAATGATCAAGAGGACAATGATGGAAGAATAAAAAGAGACACAATATGTGAATTTTTATTAGAATAAGCGTTTTTATTAATAAAACTACAAAATGAACTACACAGCTTTTTAATTCTTCTAAAAAACGATGTACAATTTAAAAATAAAAAACTAAGTAATAGAATCAGTAACTAAAAATAAAAACGAGGCAAGTACCTAATAGAAACGACTAAAACATTAACTTCCAAATAAAAACTAGGTAATAGAATCAATAACATAAAAATGAACTAGGTAATATAAACAACTTAAAAATCAACTAGGTAGGCAATATACGGATTTTTTTCTAATCATCTGACGAGTCATCCGATAAATGATGGCGTCTTCTTTTTTTCTTTAACAAACTTGCAGCAAACAAATCGATTAGCTTATTTCGTCCAACATTCTGTTCTCTCAAAATATTGTTCTGATCTTCAATCAGCTTAAACATTTTTTGGAATTGCTGGTCTTGAGCTGCCTGTTGCTTTTGGCTACAGTCTTGGATTGTCTCCAAAATTGTAGCTTTTGTTACCGTAGATGGTTTCAATGTCGTTTTTTTTTACACTTTTAACCTTTAAAACTGGTGGTTTTTCTTCACATATCTCAGATTGACTTTCATCAAATTTCGGAGGTTCCTTCGAAAATTCCATGGAATCCATGATATTGTCCAGGGTAACTTTATCCTTATTGCCCAATATCTTATCTAAGTCATCGTAAAACTGGGGAGGTTCTTTTCGTTCAACCCCTGTCTGGTGTACATGGCGTTGAAAGTTTATGTATTTTTTTGATAAATTCATGAACTTTTGTTGGCACTGTACACCACTTACACAAAAGCCTTCTTCTCCCATTTTTTTGCAATCTCCTCCCACAGTTTATTTTTCACTGAACATTTATCATTAAATTTTCTTGTATATATGGTTGAGCCTCACAGTTTTAATAACAAACAAGTTGCTTTTCCATCCATTTCATTAGGCTTTCCTTTTTGCTGCCACACATTTATATTTTTATTACCATCACTGGGTATTATATTAGTAGAAGTAGAACTTGAAGGTATGCTACTAGTACAGCCAGAACTTGTAGAAGGTATATTTAGAAAATTACTTTTATTGTTTAATGGCAGGCAATTGAATTCTATTTGTGAAGGAGGGGACGATGGACGTTGAAATTGAATATCTAATGTTTCACTTCCTTCTAGATCTATGTCGCCATTTTCAATTTGTCCAATAATAAACGAAGTGGCATACTCCTCATCTAAAATTTTGTAAATTAAAATCATGCACTTATTTTGTTACATTTTAACTTACCCGTTAATTTTCGTTTTATAACTGCAACCTCATCAGTTATCGTGTATAATACATTATTTATATATATATATATATATATATATATATATATATATATATATATATATATATATATATATATATATATATATCTCCGTACTAGAGGTGTGTCGTTCGCGAACGATTCGTTCAAAAAGAACGAATCAGTGCACTGACTCGAATGAATTGATTCCCTGTTTTTAAAAGATTCGAATCTTTTTTGAGTCAATTGCTCGATGGCTCTGCGATCGATCAAACATGCCGAGTTCCGAGTTTGGTTGCTTCGTTCATTCGATTCGGATTCGAAGATTTGGTATTTTACATCGGCATTGGCAAATTGGTCGCTTTTATTCTACGTTCTACGGCATAATACGAGAACTCTGACAGGCGGTGGCGGTATGTGTCTTTAATGTTTTTCTCACTTTACAGGAGGTGCGTATTAAGCTTAGGTAAACAATTTATGCGTGTTGTCTGATAAATAAATTTAAATCAAAGTAAAATTAAAACAAAAAATGACGAATCGTGAATATATAATTTTGCGTTAATTTTGGCTATATATATTTGGCATTTAAAAAAAAATTGTGTTATTGTTGTTTATCTTAACGGACAAGGACGTATTTATTATTCAGCTGCCTTTTTTTATGAAATATGAAACATTAATTCGCTTTACTTTAAAATAAATCTGGTTATAATTATTTTACTCGACGACCTAGTAGGTAGGTAGGTTAGGTAGTACTCAAATTCGTAAAAGTTCGGTTCGATTTCCTTCGCCGGATCGGCGGAATAACATCGTTCGTGGTTCGCTAAAGTGAATCACTTGAGAACGAATCTTGAAGAACGAATCTTTTTAGGTGAATGAATCAAATGAATTAATTCAGTAAAAAGATTCGAACTTCCCACCTCTACTCCGTACTATGCATCTTTGCTAAAATTTCTCAAAAACCCAACAAACTATATTTTTTTATGCAACAAACAGAAAAGAAAGTTATTCTTTACGTTTTTGTCAACAATGTCAACTCGTCACAGAACATTTATTTTTTAATGCACAGAACTAAAATTACGGTATATTATCCAATATCTTTCTCTTATAGAAGAAGACACAAATACAAACTACTACAAGTAACCATCCGTCTTTGGTGGTTACTTCAAGTAGTTACCTGTGACGTCATTGGTTAGCCGAAATCCCAAAGAAAATTGTGGAGTAACCTAAAGTTACTTGTAGTTAGGTTAAAGAAAAACGCCTATTGTCTTTTAATTTCTTTGTAGAGAAAAAAAAATATGATCAAAATATGATCAAAAATTTAGACAGTTTCCAGGTAAAACTACTTCGTAATGGAGAGAAATGTTGCTCTTTATGTAATCACACAGTTGAGGGTGGGGCAGCACATTTAACAAGGCATGAAAAGAATCAGTTTCACAAAAAAAAATGCCAAAAAGGTTACAAATACAGGAAACATTGAAAAATTGCTTCAAGAATTTTCAGATTGACGGTTGTAGCCATAGATTACTAATGTGAATAGATGGGAAACTCAATGGTAATATTCTGAGTCGATGTGCTGCCATCTATCAAATTGGAGTGGTACTAAAATTTAATATGGCCGCTTGGCGCGGGCTTTTTAAAATTTAACTTTCTGCTAGTCGCGCAAAAATATAATGAAGAAAATCAAACAAAAAAAATAATTTGGCAAAATATTTACTAGTTTCAAATTATAAAACAACCATATTGACTGTTTTGTGATTTGAAACTAGTCAAATATTTTGCCAATTTATTTTTTTTTTGTTTAATTTTCTTCATTATATTTTTGCATTAATTTTAAACTTGAAATAAAATGCAATTTTTTTAATTTATTTTTTTTTATTACAGTAAATTAACGCCGCATCATATAATTTGTCTATTTAAACATGGAAATAGGTACTCAAACAAATATGCATTTATACCATTTAAATAATTAAATATTTATAAAACAAACCTATCAAAAATGTTTTCTGTAACAAACTCAACATATTTAAGTGCTCAAGACCAATATAAAAGTTTTGCAACTTGGAGTGGCAATAAGTTTGAAAAAACTGAAGTTGAAGCATCATCCTTTTGGTGTCTTACAATCAAGGCGAATTTGAGGGTGGATAAAATTTGCCATATGCTTATTGAGTCGACTAGTTAAGTTGAGGAACATTTCTTCATCCGATATTGTTTTATTGATTTATTTGTACAGCACCTGTAGTTATCAAATTCTTATTCATCATCTGAGCACTGTGATAAATGAATTTAACTTTCGAGCTTAAATTAAACTTACACACGTTTGGACCTTTGAAGATTTTGGGGTGTTTTATTGTTTGATGTCAATGGCATTGAATCAAATTTTGATATTGATGGCTAAGGCTCAAATTTTTCATCGGTCTACAGGGTATTTTGAAGGGCCAACATTTTCTTTATAACAATGATCATTTAAAAACTGAAAACAAAAAGAAATTTAAATAACAAACCAATTATTTTAACACTGAATCAAAAACAAGTTTGTAAATATTACTTACCATTGATATGCCAGTACAAGATGCATTTTTCTTAAGACACTTATTACAAATTGTATGTTTATTCTTAATATGACGACCGCATATTTAATGCGTGGTATAAATTGCATCACTACCAATATCTGGGAGTGCTTCATTGTTCGTTGCTGAAATCCATGTTCCCATCTCTTGAAAACATGCTTAAAATTGGAAGGTGTTGAAAAATAAATCTAGATGAATCAAAATTCAATACACCTTCAAATGCGACAGCCATTTTAATTTTTCCAAGTATAAAGTTTTGTTGACAAGCTGACAACTGACATGCCATTTCGATACGAGCGCCATCCCGTTAATTGGAGTGGTACTAAATTACCGTCCTCATGTTTTTCCATTTGAGTTACCAGCCCCTGGTTGTAGCTAAAGAAGCCGAGTACAAATTAAGTATGGGCCTCATCGCAGAACATAATTGCCCAATGTTGCTAATGGATCAATGTTCCTAAACTTCTAGTATCTAGTATTCCAGATTCTCAAGTGGTGAAAAATATAAATTGTAGGAGAACAAAGACTACTCTGAAGATTGAGGCTGAAAATGAACTTGTGCAACAACTAACTAAATAGTAAATGAAACAACAGACATCTCTACAAAAAAATGTTTGGCAATTTTATGCCGTTTTGTAGATATAAACCAAAGTTCCATTAAAGACCAGTTATTGTCACTGGTAGAGGTAGAGAATTGCTTTACAGATGGTCTCATTAAAGCCATTTTGGATTTACTGGAGAAATCTGAAATTAATTACCATAATGTTATTGGTTTCGGTGCAGATAACGCTTCTGTTATGATGGGGCAGAATAGGAGACGGGGCGCAAGCAAAACTTAAAGAAAAAGTTAATTCAAATATTTTTGTTCTTGATTGTATATGTATAAAGAATTTCAAGAATTTATTGACACGGAACCCCACAAATTGTTAAGAATTAGTCAAACTAGATGGTATTCATTGGAGATAATGTACAAGTGCGTATATGTATATAATAAAAAAATTATTCGAATATGTGAAAAATGTATATATTTAGTTTATCATCTAAACATTTACAGATGTGCTACAATAGGTTGTACAAAATAATCGGAAAAAGCCTGTAACAACTAGTGTTCCGTAAAACTCAACTCGGAAAAATGAGAAGTATCGGCAACGGCGCTTTTAAGCATATCGATCAACCGGTCGATACTAGAGAGAGACGGGTGAAAAGATGATGAGGTCATTCATGGCGTCCCATGCATAAAAGACACTTCTTGTTTTGTTCTCACTAAACTATATTGTACCTAAATTTGTCAGATAATTGAAATAATAATAAAGTGCATTTGTAAAGTAGTGAGTGTATTACTAGCTGAGCTGGTCAGCAAAAAAGAACGGCAGATCCATTCTCGAAAGAAAGAGAGGTTTTGCAAAAAGGCAGCACGCCGACATTGATCCTTCGGCCGGATATCGCATCGGTATCGGTATTACATCATACACACAGCGATCAGCGACAGGAGTCTACAAGTTAAAAAAGTTAGTTACTAGCATCAAAGTAACAAAAAGGTCAGTGCCTTATTTTTCCTATATCATTATTATTTTAATATCTACCAATATCCTATATATCCCTTTAAAATAGGCTAATACTTGTGTTATATCAAATTTAATAATAAGCTATTTTCGAGATTGCACATTTTTGCATCTATTAAGTACAATAAAATCACCTTCGTGTTAAATATATCAAACTATTCTCGATAGATTGCACATTTTTGCAACTATTATACCTAACTTTGCAACAAAACTACAATACCTAATTGTTATTAGAATAATCTGCACTTCTCTACATATTAAGATAGGCAATTTTTATTATAAATATATATATAAATAGTTGAAAAGGAAGCGAATTCCAGATTACATTGCCTAGTTTTGTAAAATAAATACACTAGTTATCTACCTATCTTACTTTACTTGTGAACCTACAATTAACATTTATTTTAAGTATTTTTGTGTATAACATTTTATTTCATACAGATATACATATTATATCTGCACAATTATGCCTGAAAACGACGAAATTAATCCCAGTGATTTACAATTAAAAAATCATACTCAACAAAGAGGCATTTAT